GAACAAGTTTTATTGAAAAGTAATTGTTTGTAGATGCATCATATATAATATTTTAAGTTTTTCTAAACCAAAATTATTAGAGGATGTCATATGTCATATATTCTTTTGACATTTGTATTTTTGATTTATTTATTAAAAATATATAATAACTTTAACAATTAATTCATACAATCCCTTATATATTAATTGGGAAATCATTTTTTGAAAAAAGCTTATCTGCCTTAACCATATTCATTCTCACAATTTTAATGTAACATTGCATGGTGAAAAATGTGACATGGCATTGCACTCAATAAAATCAATTTTTTGTTTGCTCATGTTTAGCCCAAAAACATCATAATTATATAGCCCAAAATCATTTTTTTTTCTTTTTTTGTTTGGTCACGTTTTAGCCCAAAATAATTTTTTTTTCACATTTTATCTCAAAACCAATTATTAGCCCAATTGATCAAACACAATTAAACCTCTATAAGCTTCACTATATATAAGGGATCACCGCCAAAACAATTTGATATCAATTCAAGCGATTGATTTTCTTAAACTTGGCCTAGCCTCTCAAACTGATTTTCTTAAAAATGAAATTTTCATCAAAGGTAAAAATAATTCTTTTTCCGGGATATCATTGTCTTCTTATAATTTTTTTTTTATAGTTTTAGCTTTTTTTAGTATATATATGATATCATTTCAGGGATATCGAAGCCAAAGGATAACATTATGTTAATGTCTTATTGAAGAAGGATGATGAGAATAAATGCTCTATTGATGAAGTTAAGAAATTAGTATTAAAAACTTGATCTCACGGAATTATTTGTGGCCTTCCTAGTAAGATTTCATTTTAAATTATGTATCCCTAAACTTGGTTGGTTTATTAAGTCATTGTTACTTTTACAAAATAATGTTCTTTGGCTTGCAATATGAATAATCGATCTTATTTTTTTTTAAGCAATTTTTAAATTTAACTCAATTATATAATAAAACAAGAAAATCGGATAAATATATTTAACTCTAAAAAATCGGATGTTACCAAATATAATTATAGTCCTTTAAAATGTAGATAACAAAAATAAATTCATTATTTTTGTATGGAAATTTTGGTTGGTTTATTAAGTCATTGTTACTTTTACAAAAACTAAATTAAGTATGGAAATCTTTAATAAATGGAAATCTATTTAAAAATTTTGTACCATTATTTCGAAAATACGAGATATTTTACATCATTTCCATTTAAGATAGAAAAAATATCCGAAACTTTTCTATCTTCAATACAAGTTTTAAAAAATGGAAATTTTTTTTATAAATTTTCCACTACAAATCTTTCGAATTATAACCAAATAAAGAAAAAATCTATCAAATCCGTATTTAAAAAAAAAACATTACCAAATATACAAATAGTCCAATATTCACACAAATATTCTTCATTTTATTTAGAATAAAGTATTACAATTTGGGTTAATTTTTGGTTTTAAGTCTAGACAAACGAGTTTAAATAAAAGAGCAAAAAATATTGATGAGAATTAAAATAATCTTATTAGTTTTCAAAATCGATTTACTTCTGTAAAAACTTAGCAATCAACGTTACAGAATGGAATCTCATACACATGTATAAAAATGTTCCCGAG